CTGCTATATTATCTGTAGTGCAAATACATTTTGCAGATACTTTTGTGAACATATTGGTTTTTACTGTATTTTCAGAAACCTCTGCTCTTATCTAAGGCTCTTATGCTTAGATATATTTAAGATGCTACATTTACTAAAGTAAATGTTAAAATTAAATGTTTAAAATGTTAAATTACTATGTTAAAATTACCTGTACTAGCTGGATTAAGTATTGTGAAAGTTTGTCATCTGTCAAGTACTTCTCCAGACACCGCACTGCAAAGGCTCGCACCATTGGATCAGGGTAATTACAGTCCAAAAGCTCCATCGCTTGCTCTGGCTTGATTGGAGGCCAGTCTTTTACCAAACAGTACATCTGTGGGCAAGAAGTCCAGGCACATGTCATACGTTTACACTGATTAGGAATAAGCTGTCATATAGACCCATTAAAAGATATCACTAGACACAGAAACTGCTTCCGAGTCCAAGCAGCTTACTTGATAGTCCCCTCTAAAGCAACCTGGTATCAGCTGCAAGTTCATTTTGCTATTTTATTCACCATGAATAGAATCAAAGCAAAACTTCATATTTAATTGTAAATGACTAATCAGCAATACAATAAGAATTTAACTAATATGGCTGAGAGAGAAATGTGAGACTAAGAATAAAAACTACAAGTCTTTTCTGGATCAGACACAAAAGATTTCGTACAAAACCAGACTGATCAGTCAGTTACAGTGGCAACTTGACTAATTTAAATTTTCCTTCAACATATCGTACACACAACTTATCCTTAAGTTTTCCAAATTTTCTTTCAAATTATGTTTTAAAACTTCTCCAAATTTATTTATTTTTATTATTATTTTTTTTTCCAGTGTGGTGTGTTACCTGGGCTACTTCATCTCTGGAATTCCATTTAACAGATAAAAGCAATTTGGGTAGAATTTCTGGGATATTTACACAATAATGTCTGTAAAAGAGAAAGAAAGTTTAGATGTACAAAATGTCAATTTGCTTTGACAGCTACCTACTACAGCCCTTCAGTCTTGCATCTTTTTCTTCCTTTGTCTTCAGAGTCCATCAAAATCCTCAAGTGATACATGGTAAGATCACAGGGGAAACGTGTGGGGAAAACCTGAGTTACTTCAACAACTTGTCTCATGGGTTTGTGAAGTAACTCCCCCAATTCTACACACCTGAAGTGCCTTTTCTAATGCACTAACCCCCCAGCATAACAAAAGGGAGCAGAACTTCCAGACCATCATGACAAATTTGTGACAATAAGGTCTTTTCCTTCATTTTTTCCAAGTACCTGTGGCTCCAAAGAAAGTCCTTCTCTTGCTCAGTGATTTCAGACAGAGGATCTCGTGTGCATATAGCACGCAGTTGCTCTTTGTCGCTTTCTCTTAATTCATTATCTCTAGCTATTCTGTTACTCTGTAGAGAGAAACAGACATATTAGCCTCCAACATTTTACTCTGTTGTCATACAACCTACACAAAGTAATATATTTTAAAAGCATAAAAGCATTTATAGCCTATGTCATAAAATATTATCTTGCTATTTGCTCTGTACAAGCGAGGACTTCCCAAAAAAAAGAGAGATTTGATTCCTGATAGCACTTTTAGTTACTACCGGCACAAGAAAACATGTCTTTTAACTGAATCTGCGGCAGTTGACATCTAATCAATGATAATACCTAGCATAATACAGCTGAAACAGGTTACTTCTGTCTCCAGCTTTGAAATTACTGAAGTTTGCCAAAAGGAGTGAAAAAGGATCAGAAGTGGTAAAGCAGAGTATGAGGGAAACATTTAAGATTACACCCTTCAATTAAATTTATCTTAGACTTCATTCATAAGAAGCAGCTTAAACCTATGGTATAGTTTAAACTAACTCTACTTGATTTTTCCTTGTCTATGTGCCAAAAGTTCAGTTTTTCTCCTATGACTTCCATCTCTGAGTTCATGTAATGTATTTGCTTTACAAAGCAACACATTCAATGCTGTAGCTTTAGTGTTGCAACTACAGAACCAATACATGCTGCAAAAACAGGAATCAAAGTGCCTGTATTATTTCTTTTTACTACAATAATCTTAAGTTTGATGCTTAAGATAAAGCTGTGCAAAGATTCTAATTTGGCCTATAGAACAAAGCAGTGATACCTAGTTTCTCTGTTTCCCTGCCAACCTAGTAATTGATGCAAATACATTTTCTCCACAGTTTCTCCATGACCACCTCCTACAGTTCTGTAAAAGTTACCACAAAAAAGCAATAATTTGATACTTCATTTTTTTTAAATTCAAAGTGCAAGTTGCTTTGTCAGTAAAGTCGGAGCTTAGTCTCCTCACTATCTTCTATTTATGGTTACAGATAGAACAAGACAAGTCCAGTGTATATAAGCCTAGGTAATGAGGGAGCTATTTACAAAATAAAACACAGCAAAAGAAAAAAAACCCCAGAACTTAAGTGTCTAACTCAACAGAGTCAGAGTAAGTTTATCAATATTTAGACAGTTCCCCTGATTATTCTGCATACGTTTCACTCTGACAACTTAATCTGCATTTGAGAATACAGTTCCTAAGAAAGCTGTACAAATTACACATTGCACCATTTTTTTTTACTTTATGTTCTGAAGTACGTCTCCTCTGCTTCCTCAAATTTAACCCACTAATACTAACACTAATACTGTTTCTTACTTTGCTTTTGTTCTCCATTCCAAACTGCAGATAATGTTGTACTCTCCTACTACTGGATTTTCCTTCTTCCACACCTAACAGTATCAGCAAGCTATAGTATCTCTCTTCTTCCTTTCAAGTCTATCCTGTATTTACAAAACTAAGTTGCCAGATACTCTGATACAAGAGCAATAGAAGGGTACAAATTACTCAGTACCTCAAGAACAAAGGCATAGTTGGTCAAAAGTAGTATAACACTCAAGAACAAGAAAATTTCTTATAAACTTGCAATTACAGTGCTATTTAAGAGCACATATCTAGAATTAAGTCAAGTCAATGTAGTTCAGTTCTTTGAGGCTGATATTCTAAAGACTGCTTTTCAATGCCTTTAACTCTCTCCTGTCCACTTCTAGGTGACAAAGATCTACCTTTAAGTTTTCAAATGGTTTACATTCTCCTCTGAATTACAGCAGTTTGCCAGGAAACTGGCTGTCCTTCAAAACTTGCTACAAGTCTTGCAGCACTCCTCGGCCACAACATATACCATGAACAGATAGCTGACTGCAATGGATTTCCCTTAAAGTATCAGGCAAGTAGATATTAATTAATTATGCCAAAAAGTCTCTAATTGTTTGCATGCTAAAACCATTCTCTTTAATGTGCTTTTGTTGATCAGTGAAACATTAATACATTTTACCGGTTCTGTGAAGGATGGAGAACACATTACTCACTTTGCTAAACAGAAGACAAAAGGTTGATTTCTTCTATTACAATAAATCAAGATACATGAAAAAGTTTTCCTTATTGTTAACATACTTTAACTACTGAAAATTTGATTTTTTTTTTTTTCATCTTGGAAAGTGAGTTTGCCTTACCAGCCCCGCATAGCTGTAGTTAAACCCTAGTTCACGAGATATAGTCCAGTTGGCATGTTCTTCAATCACCGTCATATCAGGAAACTTTACAGGATTGCTAAACCAATCAAATTCCAGCTCTAAACATGGAGTTTCCTATGGAAAGGAAATTTAGATTATTTTTCTGTGGGATGATACAATTCAGAATATAGTGTATTCTGAACAGCCCTAAAGCAGAAGCTTGCACACAAGTACTTACTTTATTTGGATTTGATCCAGTAACACCAATAGGATTCAGCAAATCCTCCAGTCCATGAGGTACTGCCCAAAGATTCAAAGCCATTTTCCCAGACACTAAAGTGTCTGTGTAATCAAACATGTTTATATTTCCCCATGCCAATGGACAGTGTTCCTTAAAGAGATTAAATGATCATTTTCACTTTCATCTATTAATTACAGCACAACAATGTAATTTCAAATAAGAAGCAGATTAAAGATTTTTTTAAATGTAAATATATATTCATGGTAGGTCAAAAATTTATCTGATATAGACATAAATCTTTTGATGTGGTAAATTAAGTGTCTGCTTTTAAATTCTAACCAATAAAAAATGAGGTGTAACCACAAACATAAAAGTGACAGACACGCTCTGAATGAACTTCTGTACTTTTTCAAGCAGCCTCAGGATGGGGAAGGAAGAAGCAGCAACAGGATTCAGGAAAACAGCACAGTACATCTTGCTACTATTAAGACCACATCAGTTGGTTTAGTTTGGCAAAGAAACCACAAAATTAGAAAAGTAGGGTTATATCAAAAGTTCTGCTGACTTCCTTTTGGTAACACTTGTTTAGGTCCACTTTTCTGTGTTCAGTGGTATATTTGATATGTGAAATTCATTGTTCTAAGGCATTAAAAACTGTGGAACTCCATCTCTGATGTTAAACCCCTGCTGGTGAGCCAGGACAGCTTCTTACTTTATGCAAGAGCAAGTTATTAGATATCCAGATAAATAGAAAATAGGTTATGGAATTTATACCATATTTTTCTCTTCAATTCTTCCCATTCACTATTATTATGTCACCTTACCTGTGACAACATCTTATGCCAATCATTTTGCAGAATATTAAAACACAAATATTTGTCTGCATTTTGGCCATGCTCAAATAACTCAGGATTTGTAAAATTACTACTACAACACCTGGCTATAGACCAAAACTATGCATGTATTACACAAACAAGGCCAGAATTTAAACCCAGAATTTAAAAATGCTGGTGGCTAAAATTGAGCTCCATATTTGGATACTTAAAATAACTGTTTGGCATCTTGCATGTTGAAGCAGTACAAGTTCTGCTTACTTTAAAAACAACTCTAAATCTGAGTACAAATATTACTCTTAAAATTAAGTAACCTTTGGTTTTAGAAATTTAATCTTAAAAGTATTCTCAAAAGTTCAAAAGATTAAACTTTGATCGTTTTGTCCTGTGATACAATACAGACATTATTTACAATGTCAAATAGGTAAGGTTTTCTCAATGCTTTATAATTTCTGATGACAATGAAGTGGTTGTCAGAATATTATAAAAGAAAAAAAAAATACCGCTCATCAGATTTAGTCAGATCTAAATCAAACATGTCACTAAGCCCCAATTCTAGGACAGTATTCACCAACTATCTTTCCAAACATGACTACAGTAGTTTTGCTTGCTGCTGCAATAAAGCTATGAGGTATTTTACCTCTTTAGCCCCCTTCCGGCCTTTAACAGAACAGATTGAGAGGCAGAGCCGAGCAGCACGTGGAAGATCAGTTATGTACATCTCATACGATAGCCATTCATTCCATCTGTAACATTTAAAAAACAGAATGAAAACAAGTTAAAGAGCAGCACTAAAGATACCAGGAACCCATCAGCTTTACTCTAAAAAGCGTTTGTTATATTTCTATCTGAACTGTAGCTATCTAAAGAGCATGCAACCTTACTGAAGAAGGGTCCTCCAACATGCTTGGGACCACATGTGTTGTTTTTGGGAACTAAGAGTTCCCTAATTAGCCTTCTGGCACCAACACTGTTTGAACAGACAAAGTTCACTGCTTTCCAAACAAGGAACAGGAAGATTTACTTAATTCACTTCCACTCCTGCAGCCCCCACAGTATTAATCAGTAATTATATTAGGGGTTCAGAGGCAACTATGAATACATGCGTTAAACAAATCTTTTTGGTAAAGAGACTGACCTATTACATATAATACTGTAAGACAAAATATTTGCATTTGAATTTAATTATTCCTATTTATAAATGTAGTAGCATTTAAAAATAATCTTAGAAATCTTAAGGCAGGGGATTTCCAGTAAGCATCTGCATCTTGATGATACTAAATGCAGCCTACACTTCTTTAGTACTACTATTTAGGATACCTGGGAAGTCAGTTTTTCTCTAGTCATTCTTAGTTTACCTGGGATTAGAACAAGGTACTCTCTGAGTATTCACATTGTCACACAAAGGCTCCCCTCCATGGTAGATACCTGTTCGAACATAGATCTGAAAATAACATGCTGTTATTAGTACAGTCTTGCAAATGTTGCTGCAAAAATAGTTTTCATTCCAATCAACATACACTACTGACTAAAGCATATTACTATTACATTTCTATCAAGCAATCCTCTGCAAAAGCGACAAGAAAAACAACTCTCTTCCCCAATCCCAAATCCATTCATCCTTTGCAAGGTGCGAAGCATAGAACATAGGCCTACCCTTCCAGAAGAGATGCTTCATTATGATTGCAAAACTAGTTCTTAAAAATACAATAAACAGCTGCTGGAAACCACGTATGATGCCATGCAGCATTTGCCTTACCTTGTCAATGTCTCGGATGTTCACATTTACATAGGTTGCACACAGGATTCTTATTCTGAGAGCACTGTTTATAGACCAGAGGGATTTGGCTGTAGCTTCTCCATTCATATAGGGTGTAGCTGTAGAAATGCGTCTGGAATAAGATGGCATTGTAAAGGTATCCAGAGGCAGCTGGGTATATAGGCTCTCCTTAGCCATCAGCATCAGGTTAGGCATGCGACCAAGCATTATACAGCTTCTTATGTACTGCAAGGAAGCCAGAATTAAGCTCAGTGTGTTTTAATTGTACACAAACAGTACCAAAAAGTGTTCAGGAAAACACATAAACACACATTTAAAGAGCACTCATTAGAGAAGTCCCTTTGTGAAGGCTCTTTACACGCATTCAGTTACAATATCTAACAACCAATGCAGAATGACAGCCGGGTTCCGCACGGAGCCTCTCCGCTCAGGTGCGGCGCAGCTCCAACAAGAGCGGCTGCTTCCTCATTCGAGCTGTTTCTGGGAGCAGTTTGGCTGTTTGCACAGCAAGCTGCTGAACGACTCTGCCATGCAGACCTAGCACAGGTGGCCACGATACTCCTAGTGCCAGGTAGAGAGCTAAGGCAAGGGACAGTGACACTCATTTTTGGTTCATTTGCTTTTATTAGCTTCAGCTCATCACCGATCTTGATTGACTCTTTTGCGTGAGCCTGAGAGCTTTAGTTTGGCAACGGGACTACAAAATACAATGTGTTAAGGCTTGTCTGGGTCTGTGTTGTAATTAGTAAGCTCTTCTGCAACACGGTACAGCTCTATTGAAGCCTCCTGAAGAAGCCCAAGTAGGTCTAGTGCTTGATCCCAAGATGACTATGCAAAGGTAGCCAGTGATGCCTGCACTGGCTCAACAGCTCCCACAGTTCAGAGGTTCTTTCCCCATTACTCAGAGTTCTCCATCCCGGGCCTCTTTCTCATTGGTTGATAATCTACTTTCCAAAGCATTTTAGCCCAAGGAATGGAAGCTGTTCACCACAGCAATACAAGCCTACAAGAGGAAGGAACAGCCATTGGCAGGAAATCTACAGGGTAACATTGTTACCTACTGCACAGGAGCTGCTCAGATGCTCTCCTGTCAGCACTTTGGTGTCAAAGTCACAGCACTAACAAAACCAAGGCACTGGTTTTGAGTGACAGTCACTACAGAGATTCAACAATCATTTAAACAGTACTGGAAGTTTACTACTGCTGAAAAAGTCAATTTCACTGAGGTAAGCACCAGGAAAAGAGAGAGTTTGTCATTTTTCCCATCCCTGCAGAGGGGGAAGAAGATTTATAGCAATGACGTTTTTCTCATAATTTAACTGCTTATCACAGTTCCTTTTGCATGACATCAGTCCCATTCAAGCATCATAATTCAACTCTTGCTGTTATGAGCCTAGGATGTTTCTTAAAACATCTGCGACAATCTCATGTCTAATGTTAGAGACAGATTTGCACTTCATTCCAAGGAGAAAAATTACACTGGGAGAGTTACTTTCTTCTTTTTTAAAGTATAAACAACAACAAATATGTACAGGGATTATACATTAGCCAACCAGTTTTAAAGACAAATACACTAGCTTCTACCTTTTAGATCAGTTTAATGAACAGCAAGACAATGAAAATTAATCACTTCCCTCTCAGAAGTTTCAATTATTCTAGTGTGCTTCAAAAGAAATCCATTATGTTACTCACCTTATATTGGCTCAGTGGGTATTTTTCTAGCAAGTACTCATCACAGCCGCACACTTTTAAAATATACTTGCCCTGGTACTCCAAGACACAGAGTTTCAGTTGTTCAGAAGACAGCAACATACTTCGTGTCTTCTTCCTAATTGCTTCAGCAATAACTTGCTCAGGCACACAGTCATGATTGATTTTTAAGGTGTATTTCTGCTTATCATTGTTTGGCGAGACTATTACCCATATTACCACTATAATTTGTCCTAGAATAAATGTGAAAATATTTTAAGTCTACAATGTACAGCATACAGTTCAAAAAGTCCACAATATTGCTTTCAATATTACTTAGAGAAGTAGCCCCAAAGCAACTAGAATAGCCCAAACTAGCAGAGTGCTAATAACTTCTGGAAGGAACTGTGTCCATTGTGCTTATTTTTGATGCAAGTGCAAATGTGACCTTTTATCCCTTCCATCAGAGAAAGTATTGAAAGCTTAACAAACTGATTCTTCCTATAAAAAAAAAAAATCTTGATTTACCAAGTTTCAATACTTAAAGAAGCTACTAGAATACCAAAAAGATGCAATTATGAATTTTGCTGTTTTTGTTTTGAACCTATAAACTATTACACTATCTTAAGTAAGAATAACTCAAAGTGTAAGAAAGATGCTGATTCAGTATACTAAACGCATCACATAAAACAGTTATTTACCCAAGTAACCAGCTACACTCTTTGATATCAAACACTGAAAAAGCATTATGTTTCTACAGCACATATTTGTTACCTTTATCTAGCTTATTGTATATGTGTTTGGGTAGCTCAGGCGAAGACTCTACATTTGGAGGACAGACATATAATGCTCTACTATGGGGCGCATTTGCATCTCGAAGATCCACTGCTTCTTTGCAAACGTTTAAGATATTTCTTCTGAAATCTTGTACTTCTGGATCCTTAACCATGTCAAATTCACAGACAGGCATGCCAATAGCAAAGCCTATAATATTGAAGAGGCAACAGGAAATAATTGTAATTGATAATTAAGCTAAAGCTAAAGATTTCTTCATAACAGAAATCCTTTAAGCAAAATATAAACATACAAATGAAAATTAAAATATTTTCAGAATCACCCCAGAACAAGTATTTCTAGTTGACAGGTCTTTACTACAGCAACACACATGTTCTGTCCACTAACAGGGAAATGGTACATTTTAGTATCTGATTTTAGACACAGATTAGCTTGGTTTAAATACAGATTATCTCACCTATTTCTCTATTTAGAATCTTTTCTTCTCTGTTACCTACTGGTTCAATGACTTTTAGAAAAGGTTGAAAGAGCCGCAGGTCACAAAGTCTCCGTGTTTCATCAAAAAATTCTTCTCTTTCTGCCTCCTGGGTAACACTTACAAAAATGTAAGATGATTCATCTTGAAGGAGCTGATAGAGAGGGTATTTTCTTGCTTCTTTAAAGAGTTCATGTTTAATGGTTAGTAATGTGGCCTCACGGAGGCATTCTAGAGTCACTATCATTCCATTTGGTAGAAGACACTCCACAAGGATCCGCGGTGGCATCAAATGGATGCCCCATAGTTCACCAGATGATGGCCGTGGAGGCATTTTTTAGACTTCTGATATCTCTTTAGTGGAAAAATTTCAAGTAGTGATTTGTATGAAAAAACCTAAATGGAAACAAGAAATGTAAACATTAAAATTTAAGCTACATGCATCACAAGGAGTTTTAGATAAAACTGCTCAAACACCTCTTACATTTTTAGCAGGATGTTATAAGATATGTTTTCTTTGTTCTTAGACCTGCTGCCTTTGCCAGATGCCCTGGATTTCTTCTAATGAAACAAAGCCCCTTCCCTTTTGCATCCCTTACTCTTAATTTTATAAAGCTCCCCAAAACCTCTTTTCCACAACAGACCTATACTACTTAGTCCTTCCTGCTAAAATCATTCAATATTTTGGATAATCCTTGCCACCCTCTTTGGACCAGTTTTACCATATCCTTTTTGCAAGGTGAAGGGAGAACTACCATAGCTTCAGAGCATATTGAAGAGCATATAGAAAATGCATTTACATGAGAGCTTAATGTCTTCTGATGCTTTCCTAACTATTTTATTAAATTTGCCTTTCTGATTGTCACAGAGCATTAAGACATTTTCATTGAACAATATGCCACAGACATAAGTTCTTATTCCAGAGTAGTAAGTTACCTAAGAGGCCCTCATACATTATTGAATATTGCATTACTTACACTTAGCCCATAATTTCATTAAATTCAACATTTACAGTATCACAGAGGGAAACATCACCTGACATCCAGAGAGCACTCCAGCTCACCTCCTTCATGAACCGACTGCTCCGAAAGCAGAGCACTGGGACAAGGACCAGGCTACTACAAGAAAATCATTCTTGGGCATCTGCTTAAAGAATCCTCTTACAAACACCCCTCTTAGTTTCCATTCTTTAATAATGGAAAAGAAAAAAGAAAATCTAACTTCACAACCCCTTTTGTCTGAGGGCTTTCCAAACACTCTGACTGTGGGGAAGAGAGGATGTTACTGCTTGCCATTCCCTCAGCAAGTGGGGGAAAGAAGCCATGACTCTCAGCTCCAGGCTTCTATTCCTTGTCTTTATTTAAAAGTAAAAAAAAAAATCTTCCCAGTATCTCCAATACTTGCTTTTTCTACATTCCCATTCTAAAGCAGCACTGGAATGGCAGGTTTATCTTCCCAAATCCATTGCTTCCTAGCGTGTTCAAGATAGCAATGGTGCTCTAAAGCTTCATTGCTGGTTTAGCAAAATGCTTTTTGGCTCACACCTCATATATAATTAGAGGTGTTTTTGCTACTAAAAAGAGCTGACTTCTTTTAAAAAAGAAGTTAGACTCTACAGAAGCTATTTTACTTTCCACATTGTTGTAACAGTCGCAGTGAGCAGATGCTGAAAGGAAAGTTTGAAGCATATTCAGCATCTAAAAAGAGCCAAGCTTGGAAAGCTCACAACTACAAAACTTTATAAATGAACTAAAATAACATCGGAGAATTCTGAATTACTGATAACTGTTTTTGGTTACAGATACAAAGAAAGAGACAGAAGGTTAAATAGCATCTTTTTGATCAGCCAAAGCATGAAAGAGTCTCTGCCCATGAGGCAGAATCACATGCTTATACTCATATTTCTTAATTATGAGCAGAGGCAGAGACACATCACTGCTAAGGCATATACCAGAGTAAAAACAAACAAACAAAACAAGAACATGCAATTGTAAGAACTCTTCTGTCCACAGACAGACAACAATAAAATAATGGACCACAACTAAATATTCCCAGCACAGACTGAGCTTATTCTAGCAGTCTTTATGTCCAGTTCCACAATCCTGTTTAGGCTTCTGTGAACTGGTGATTTTAAGGCCTCATCTTCTCCCTGCCTCAAGCAGGTGCCCCCCTTCCTCACCATGCTGCTCCCTGAAGCGGCTCATTAAAAGGTCGGATGAATCAGCCTAAAAGAAAACCCTCATTTTCTCCTTTTCCAGGAACCGCCTCCCCCATTCCAGCTGTCTTACTGAGTCCACCATGGACTTGGACAAGCACTAGGGTCTGCACAGGGATGGAGCTGGACTGCAGCACTGCTGAGATGGTTCAACTCAAAAAATAGGTTTCCAGAGCATGTTTAACCTCTCTCACCACCAACAACTACTAAAGAAGAAATAAAGAAGAAACAGGAGACAGGGTGGAGGACCCAGGAACTAAGTGTTTTCAGAAAGGTGTCTTTTCAAAATAAATTGAAACCCTTGGCTTTTCTGAAACAAACAAACAGAGAAATAAAACCAAAAAAGCCCAATCCTCCCCAACCAAAAAAACCCACCACCCAAAACCCAAGTGTTAAAAGCCAACTCAACACTATTTCTTTAAAGACTGCTACAAATAGGCCAAAGGCCACTCCAATCTACAAATCGCTCCTTTCAGAGCAACTGCACCAAAACAGCAGCTTTCATTTAAAATTGGAAAACAGACATTTGCTGGGCCTGTGTATGCAGTCAGTCTGTGTGCACATTCATTTCGCTTGGGCATGTAAGCACGCCTCCAGGGTTTGGATTTGGAAAGCAAAAATGTAAACAGCAACAGTTCTGAAGCACAGTTGGCAGCCTGTGTTTCTGCACACTTTCAAAGCTGGAAGGCTGCCTGGAATAAATAGACTCAATTACGTTCTTCGACAGTAAAAGTATAATTTTTACAGAGTTCTAGAGAGATGTTATTTAGATCCAATTGAGGGTACATACGAACACTTCAAACACACACTATAATCACACCTGCAATCCCTGACCTTCCAAAACATCTTAAACCTTTTTTCCCAGAAAAGAAGTTCTTGGGTACCACAGGTGTCCAAAAAGGCCAGGCTCAAAGCTGCTTGCTAATCAAAGTGTGTTGGGATAATCGGTTATGAATGAGCCACCACAATCTCTTAAGTGCATCTTCTATCACTAACCTCACTGTGCCTCTAACCTAGAGCTGCATGCAAAATTCAGTAGATACATAAGAAAGGAGAAAGAGGGAAGTTATACTACATACTCACAGAGTACTGATTCCTACTGATTCCCCAGATACACATCACCATATTAATGCTAACTTATATGAATTATCTTCCTATAGGATAGAAAGTTGCTGTAGTCAAAGATTTCTTGAAAGAATTCCTTCCCTCTGCTGAAAGAGAGGTCAGTATGGGAGAAATTCAGCAAGAACTGTACCACAGACAGACAAGATTAGTTCCCAAATTAGTTTGCCTAAATACTGCCTCCACAGAAAGCACTTCTTTTAGCTGCTGCATCACTGTGATCACCCTCCAGTCCACACCCCCACCACACAAACAGAAAAGGAATATATGCGTGTACATATATATATAGAGAGAGAGAAATAAATGACATAATTCTCCATCTCTACTCTGGCAACAATGCTTATGCACAGCACCCACGGTTAGTGAAACTTTGCATTGATCATCTGCATCCACAACCAGTCTAGACAACCATGATGCAGAAATAATCTTTACACGTTTTTCTAAAGCTTGGGAAAAGTTTTATCCTCCAAAGTCTAAAGTCCACATGTTCTCTCTCTTAAAGAGCCAAGGCTATTGGAACCATTTTTGCCATACTCTTAAACATTAGGGTCCCATGCACCTGCCACTCACCTTGACCGTATTTTTCCCCACTGTTAAGTGTTCCCCCTCCCCACTGTTAAGTGTTTTTTTTTTCCCCCCCACTGTTAAGTGTAAAGAAATTTCATTATATTGTGTTCAAAGACAGGATATAAGCAATGGCTTATATTATTCTGTGGTATTTTCTGTATCAAAGAGCTAGATTTGTGTGTAGATTTGATTTCTTCTCCAGCTACAAATTTCCTGTAGACTATTACCATTTTCTTCCGAAGAAAAAAAGCCTCCTTCTCATTAAGCATTCCAGCTATGTTTATATGTTCTAGTTAAGTTTACTGTGCACTCACAGGTGGATTAACTGTTTGCTTGGTTCTCCAAACTGTGACAAGTATCAACTACAGATATTTCACCAATCTACCTTTTTTATTGTTTGTTTTTCCTGTGAAATTCCCCAAAATATTTTTTAAAAGGAACAATATTCCAGGGGCAAGAACAATACTTTTCAGAATGCAAGGTTAATATTCCATTTTGGCCCCCAGATTTTAAACCTTTTAGAGAATGAAATACTTTATTCTTATCTGTAGACATGTCAGTCCCTTTAAAACTCACCATAAAGAGAACTGGGCAGAGCTGCCTGTCTGTCCAAACCTGCTGTGTCGCAAAGCAGTAAAACTGCTTCAGACTAGATATTTTCTGTACTGTCCTTTGTTCCTCCTGCTTGCCAAGCTGGGATTTTTCCAAAATCCAGAAGACTGGTACAAAAACATCTGAAATTATCCTCTATCACAACATTACGGCCAGATTTAAACAGCAGCAATACTGCTTTGTTTATAATTTAAAGAAGGATAAAAAGATTATATTCTAGTTAATGTATTTACTATCTAGCCTTTGTATTTCTCGCATACTACTTTCATCTTCGTTATTTCACAGAAAAGGAGCAGATTTTTTTTGTAGTTACCTACTTTTTTTTCTTAATAGTTCTGAACATCTTTGCAGTGTACTAGACAGAACTACAACTACAGTCCCTGTAGAAGCATCTTTAGAAATATAACACTTTCCTGCATAATGAATTTTTGTCAGAAATAAGTAAAACTAAGTGTTAGCTTAGTTATACATGAAGACGTGGTCTGGCTGCGCTTTAGAATTCTGTATTTATGCTATTTATCTCACATGTAGACACTAGTTTTGTTCTAGACCACAATATTCTTGCATACCAGTTGTAGTGAATTTCAGACACCGTGAGTAAAATAGGAGATCATCCTGAAAAGAGAACTCTGAACTTGCACACTGTAATGGATTGTCCGAGATGGAGCAAAAAAAAAAAAATCTGTCACCGAAAAATTTTAATATCAAACATCTGAAATGCAAACAGATTGAACAATTCAAAAAGATTTCTTAAAGCCCCCAAATTTACTGTTGTTGGATTCTGAAGTTTAAAAAAAACCAAAACCCTAGAGTTTAGAAAGATGTTTTAACACCAATTAGTTCAAATGCTCTCGCTCACCCTCCCCCAT